TTTTGTTTAAAAAAAACTTGGTATTGTTGAGTGCACTATCAAGGTTGTGAAGGCAGATGACCCCACCATGCCCAGAGGGTGCTGTGGTGTTTTGATCATCGTTGGCCCCAGGGTGGTTGGAAATGCTGGTGAATCCCACTGGGTGTCGTGGTGTGTTCTCATTCCAGCTCCTCCAGCTGGCTGAGCCAACATGAGGCAAGTTCACAAACCCTGCTATTTAAATTGAGTTAATCCATGTCCTGCCAGCAGAATTGGGTATGGGAGGGCCACTTGTGGGTCTGAGGTGAGGAAGGAAGTTACAGTAAAGTTTAGAGTAGTGCTCTATATGTTCCAAGAGTAACCTATTCAGCGGAGCTGGAGCTGGCACAGGATTTCTGTGCACAAGTGAAGCAGCTTTATGATGATATGTTGATTCTCCAAGGTCATGGAACAAGTTGGTTTACTTTTGACTTTGGCTCCAGTCAGAGCATGCAGCAGTTTTTCTTCCATGTTTGTTTAATCCATCAGGCATGATTAAGATCAATTAAAAGACAAGAGAGCTTAAAGCTTAATGCTGTTCAGGGATTACCAGAAGCTCCACATTTAATAGAAGGAAAACAAAATAGTCAGTACAGGGAAAAAGCCCTTTGAAATTAGGAGGGGTGTCCTCAGTAGACTTGGTGAGATGAGGAGCTCTGAAAATGCAATTTTGAAGGCAGTTGAGCTTTTCCTTCCTCAGGGTCAGTTTTTCTTAAATCTTTCCCAGTGGATGTTTGTTCTCATTAGGAGTTCTTCCCTCTTCTTTATTGTCCTTAGTTAAACCTTACAACTAACCTCCTATCTAAAATTTCCCTGCCAATTTAAATCCCTCTTTCTTTCTCAGTGGCCATAAAAACCAGATTAATTTTTCACAATGACCTTTGGGATATTTAAAGCATGGTGTTGTGTCTTTATTCTTTTTCTCTATTTTTGTTAGACAGAGGAAAAACAAACCAAAAAAACACTGTTTTTACAGTCAGTCTCCCTTTTCTAGATCATGTTTTACAAACTTCTGGTTATGTCTGTTGCTCTGTTTTGGTTTCTCTTCCTCGGTTCTCTAGTGCAGTATTGAAAACTGAACACTACTAGACATGAGGAAAGGCTTTTACATCAGAGATTTGGGATGGTATGAGGCTCTCACACTTGCCCTGACATCATATATCATCTTACCCTGTGTCTGTACATGTTGTTCTCATTTTGCTGTAGCTGGTATAGAAGTCAGCAGAACCAAAGCTGGCCAAGGAGTAGTACAAAATAAATAAGTAGAGAGATCTTTCACATCTTTCCTTTTTCTGCTAGGTTCAGGGGGGAAATGGTTGTCAGATTTTACTGAAATCTATTTCTTAGCTTTAAGCAAATAATGTAGACTACTGTTTAAACACACCTTTTCATAACTGCTTGGAATTTTTAGCTCGGTATCTGAGCCTTAAAATTTTATGAAGCTTGAACTAAAATTATATGCAGTTGTTGGCATTTATGCAGCAGTCAGCAATTTTTCATAAATAGTATTTGTTACAAAAGCTAAGACCTCCCTTTGACCTTTTTGTAGTAGGTCCTAAAATCTTGTAGTTGGGAGGGAGGAGGAAAGGTGGTGAGTGTTCACATTTCTCTCTATAACCAGAGAAGGAAGAAAGGGTTGTTATTTCTGAGTTTAGATACGTGGGAGGCTTTTTTCTTTTTTTTTTTTCCTCCCTTCTTTTCTTAATTTTTTCTTGCAGCAGTGAAGCCTCTGATAATCCAAGATAGACAAGGAACTGAGAAAAGCAAGGGCTAAGAAGCAGCATAAAACCTAAGGGCTCTAGTAGTTAAAAGTAAGAATCTGTGTCCAGAACAACTCAAAAAGATTAAGTCCAATTCTCATCGTCTGAAAATTTCAGGAGTGCTTAAATAATTGGGGTCTAACAGGCATTAGACTTGAACTGGCTTTATTTTTCTTGGAGAAAAACAATGCTTTATTATATACAATACCTTAAAACAGTAAACAGGGTGGGATTGGTCCACCTGACCTTGAGTAAGGTGCCTGAGCCAGCAGTGTGTGCTCCTGTTATAGTGAGTGAAGAGCCCTTCCGTGAGCTCTGGGTCAGATGAGCCACGCCCTGGAGTTGCCAGTTTCTCTTCTGCTTATGGAAGGGCCTGATGTGACAAGCTCAGATGTTCATGTCTAAACCCAAGCAAAGTGAATCCAAACTGAAGTGTGTAAAAAGTGAGAGACCGACCCAGTGCTGCCACCACTACTGATGATACTCAGAGCATGTGGATAATCCAGGACTTCTGCCCACAGTGCCCTGGTCCAGCCCCTTTTCTGTATGGTGGAGTTAGTGCTTATATCTGTATTTATGTCCTCAGGTACTCAGTGTTAAATGTTCCATTAGAAAATTAGATTGTTGAGAGATCACAGAATCACAGAATGGTTTGGGTTGGAAGGGGCCTTAAAGACCATCTCGTTCCAAGCCCCTGCCATGGGCAGTGACTCCTTCTACTAGACCAGGTTGCTCCAAGCCCCATCCAAGCTGGCCTTGAACACTTCCATGGATGGGGAGTCCACAATTTCTCTGGGCAACCTGTGCTGGGGCCTCACAACCCCCACAGTAAAGAATAAGATCTTCACTCAGGACGACAGAATAATGGAACTTCTCTAAATGATATTTTTTAAGCTGCTCTAGAACAGTGGCACTGGGAGTTTCATTTCACACCAGGCATACTCAAAGTTGTCTGTAATGCTGTGGAGCAATGTGGACAATTGACCTTTGTTACATTAAGCCTCTGTTACAAACAAAATTCTGTTTGCCTGTGCATCCATCTATTCCATGATCTCTAAATGTCAGTGGCTCTCAAGACACATTTCTCATCCAAGGAACAGTAATTGGAAAATAGTTCATTGACCGCACAGCTGTATTTGTTGTTGCAGTAATAGCATATTATTTACCAGTGAAGACATTTAAAGCTTTCATACTTTTCCATCAGAGAGTATCCTCACAAATCCCTAATCTATTTATTTAATTTTCTCTAGATTTATATAAATATTGAAAAAGAGGCGCCTTTCTGTATGCTTAAAGCACCTTGGGCATAGCTTAAGTCTACATTGCAAACAGAGTTTGAAAAGCACAGCAGTCTGCATCTCTCTCCCCAGGAGCAAACTAGACAGCTCAGAAACTCAAATTTCTCTTTCAGTCACCCATTAACAGTTTGCTCCCCTGACCATTCACTTTGTTTATCTCTGCACCACCAACCAAAACTGTTTCAAATGAGTGAATAAATTGTTAAGGAGTAGGAGGGCACGTTACTGAAACGTGCAGCTGTGTAACAGAGGGTACTTCAGTACATTTGGAGGGTTGGAAGGTTGATGAAATGTACTTTGCAGTAGCTTGGTGCATGAGACTGTGTAGCTGACTGTGGTTATCACTGTAAAGGCAGATCAGAAAGTAGTTCCTTCCCAATGGAGTTCAGTTTCATTGGTAAGAGACAATATATTGGGTAATTGTAGCAGTGAAAAGCTTCTGCTTTTGGTTGATCATTGGTAATTTCTTTGTGTGTAACAACATTCACCAGTAAAACTTTGATTTTTAAAGAAACAAGGTGAAGGCTGATGACTCAGAGACTGTGGTTCTGAGTTAGCCTTTTTTTATATTTTATCACTTGAGAAACTTAAATATTTTCTTCCTCTCCTGCACTAATTTATCTTTAACTGTGCCAAGAATCAAAATCTGAAAAGTCTGATTCCTTTTTTTTTGTTGAGTTTGGCATCATTCACACAATGCTTTCTGGAAAAAAAAAGGATTCTTTTTTAAGGAAATAGCATTAAAAAAGCCTCAACCAGAAACTTTATGTTTCTGTTCAGAGATGTGAACTGCTGCACCTCTCCACAGTTGTGCTCAGTGGTGTAGTCCTGTGTTATTTGTTGGTTTCATAGGATCATAGAATGGCCTAGGTTGGAAGGGACCTTAGAGCTCACTTCCAACCCCCTGCCATGGACAGGGACACCTTTCACTAGACCAGGTTGCTCCAAGCCCCATCCAGCCTGGCCTTGAACACTTAATCAGGTCCAGCATTCAACTGGTGTGAATCCAAGAGTCTTTCTGAGATGCCTTACGATGACACCAGGAATGAGGCATCACCACCTGTGGAGTTCTCATCACGGCACCTGGGTTGCTCTTGGGATGGTGACCATGTTGTATTTTTGTTTGTGTTTTTTGGTGGGATTTGCTTTTCATACCCTTTAGAAGCAGGCAATAAGTAATTGGTGTCACCATCCTGTCCCACCTCAGTGAGTTACCAGGATTTTGTCCTTTGTCTCCTGATGTGGCTGTCCTGGGAAAGCACATGCAGGGTGGTGGTAGGAATTATTTCCCCTTCAAATAGTCCTGCTGTTCCTTGCAGTGTTTCTATGCCCAAACACTGCTGTTCATTTGCCACTTACACCAGTCTGAAGTATCTTCATTATGGCTCTTTGCAACAGAGAAGGATTCAAAGCTGCCTTAACATTCCCAGTGGTCTTCTCCTGTGTGGAATATGATTTAGATGAATTCTGTTGGGATAGGCAGGATTGATTGATGTTTTTGCAGACTAAGAATATGATTTTGAAAAGGTGGAGCATAATATCTTTATTTAGTTTTCCATTACTGAGGCAGATTACATCTCCTGTGTAAGTGGGATATGGCCTCACAAGCAATCGTGTGACTTGGCCAGTTAGCTCAGCAACTGCAACAGTTCCTGTGTGTGAAGCTGTGCTCACAGTGTGTCATCAACCCTCTTTGGTTTAGTGGACTTCACCCCTGGAATAATGTATTTTGTATATTGTAAAGATTTTTTAATCCAGGAATCTAGGTTGGTGCAAAATGTGAAGAACTATTTTTTAATAGAAGTCAAAGAACTCAATCAACTTGATACAGTTCCACAGATACATTTTTACTGATTTTTTTTTTTTTTTCTCTTGACTTCTGAATTCTGGGTAAATAAAACAATTCTTGTGTTCCTTGTGGCAGATAAACAGAGGCCACATGACAACTGAAGCAAAGAGAGCTGCCAAGATGGAGAAGAAGCTGAAGATCCTGCTGGGTGGTTACCAGTCCCGAGCCATGGGCCTCATCAAACAGCTGAACGATTTGTGGGACCAGATCGAACAGGCCCACCTGGAGCTGCGAACTTTTGAGGAGCTGAAGAAACATGAGGATGCTGCAATCCCTCGGAGACTGGAGGTGAGATTCCTAAATGTAATGCCTGGGGTCAAACACAGGCATTTTGTGGAAAAGATGTTTTTACAAGATACGAGCTCTGAGCTTCACAGCCTGAGTTGGTATCAGGTTTTGAATGTTCTTTTAAAATTTTGGCTGTTACCAGATTCATCTGCTGTTTACTTCAATATCAAAGATTCTGTGATACATGTATTAGAAGCTGGGACTAATCTGCCAGTGTGTTCTTTAACTTTGGGGGTTTTTTATTTCCTTGTGTGGTTTATTTTATAAACCTTCTGAAATGCATATCAGCAGAAGTTCCATATCTCTCTTAATTTGACTTGTTTTGGTTTTAATTACAGTTAGAACTTGTAAAACTTGTGTAAAATCTCTTACTTTCATAAAAGTCAGTGGACCAAATGCTAGTATATACCTGAAATAAGTGCTTTGGAGCCACTTTTCTTAGTTCAAGGATCTCCAGGATATTCTCTTTTTATTCATCTTAACGAGGCAACCCTCAACCATGACTCAGTCCTATGTCTGAGCGAGTGCCAGGCTTGCTTTCCAAGGACTAAGTACTCACCTGAGCACAATTTTTCTTTTTAACACTTTTTTTCTTCCAAAACAGAGGGTTCCATTGAGTCTCAGATCTTCTCAACCTTTTGCTCTAAAAACATTAAAACAGATCAGTCCTTAAAACTGGTGGTTTAGAAATGCTGGTAGATGTTTTTACAAACTCCAAAGTGATTAATTGATTTAGTGAAAGATAACAGTAAAAACATATTAAATCAGATGATAGCTGCTAATAGCACCTGTTTTTAGTACATGGCAAGGTTCCAATTTGAAATCTCTTCCTTTTGAAGCATTTGATCTTAACTGCTGCCAAAGACAGGATGAGATACCTGAGATTTGAAATAAGATAACTGTGATTCTTGATACTTAACATCAACTGCCCTGTTTTACTTTTCTTTTTAAAATAAGTAATTTTAGCAATGTCCTGTCACAGTTCTGACCTCTTCCTCTGAAGCAACTAAACTATAACCTTTGGTAAAGCTCTTCATGGGTGTGACTGTTGGAAAACTGACTGGTTGTTTAATGATATTTTCGTTACAGTGTCTGAAGGAAGATGTGCAGCGACAGCAGGAAAGAGAAAAGGAGCTCCAGCAGAGATTTGCTGACTTCATGTTGGATAAAGAGACTTTTCAAGCAAAGTATTAAAGCACAAAATTCCATTTGTCACTGATGTAACATTTTTAAAGTGTGCAGATACTTCTCCAGCAGCTTTTGCCAGCAGCTGCAGAAATCAAGTGTAGCCTGCTGTTTGCATCTTGTCAGCTTTTATTCCTTTAATGGACTGTTCCAAATGATCTAGGTATGAATAGCTCTGGCCAGTGTTAAAAATAGATTTGAAATGTCCAAAATTTTATTGAAAGAAAAGGAAAAATCACTCTGGTATGATTTTAGCCATGTCTTCATTTGCTAGGGAACTCACATTATTCCTAGTGCTTTATCAGTCTTAAGACCTGTAAGATACATGCCTGCAGAATAATGTCTTTTGAATAAACCTGGAATGTTAAAAAACAAAGAAGTAATAATATGTCTGTCTTTTAACTAAAATTGAATCTTCCCCTATCCCAGCCCCCTTTAATATTTCTGGTAAATTGTCTTTCTTCCTTTTCCCACTGCTACCTTTATTTTCCAAGGCTGTAATTTGTAATAGGAAGTACCTGTGCAGGATAATTGTGGCCCAGGTAATACCCTGTTCCTGATTCTTCTCTGTGGATGTGACTAAACACTCCCAGCTTTATCAAGATGCTCAAATGGTCACAGTGGCATAATTTCACCATCCCAGCACAGCCTAGTAGTTCCCACAGACTTCAGCAGTACCATTACATTTTCTAAGTATTAACTCTTTTAAAACCATCTGCTTTGTTGCCCAGAGCAGCCATGGTGTGGGTTGGGAAAAAAAAGCTCCATATTTGCTACTCTTCTCCTTTCACCACATCCCAACAGGATACAGTTTTCTCCTTGCTTTGACCTAAAGGGTAAGGATAGGCTTATGGAAGGGGGTAAATTCATTATTTCCTATTCTTTGATATTTTTCTAAATTTTATCCAAAAATCTTCTTGGTACAGTTGTCACACCACACTTGAGTTAGATGTTGCTGTTTAAAATTTTGTGTGCCGTTCCCAATGTTTTTAATACAGGAATTTGCCACAATCAGCTATCTCATTAGAGATTTCAATAAATTTTTTTCTTAAAAATAAAAAGACACTTTCAAATTTTTATTTTTGCAGTGGTGTTCATCACTTCTTCAGAGATCCATCTTACTCGCCGAGTAAGTCTTTTGTTTGTGGCAATGCACAGGGAAAAAAAGGCAAAACTGTATTTTCAACAGCACAGAATTCAGCAATTAAATACATCCAGTTGGATGCATCTTGTAATTTTGCTTGTACATATTTGGATTTAAATGAGGATTTTGCTATTTGCAGTTTTACCAGATTAGTGTCACTTTGTCTCCACTTGGGAATGTTACTGGGGGACACTGTCAGGGCTGTGGCTGTGTAGCTGTTTCAGTGCCATCCATGGAAACCAATGATAATCATATTTTTTTAAATGTAACCTGTCCGAATTCTGCTAATCACTGGCAGGAGTAGGTACACAGCCAGCCTTGGAATATCTTTCCCTTTACTCACCAGGACATCATTCTTCTGAAGTATTAATGCAATTATAGACTACATACTTCTAGAAATGTGTTAAATATTTAACTAAGCCAGAGCACATCTGGAACAAAGTATTAAGCATCAATCTTGTAGCATATGGGGTATTTTAGCTTGGATGGTTATACCCAAAAGGAAAAATCATGGCATATCATGACAGTTCTTGTGGTTGTGTGGTAGCTGGAGATATTAACTGAAAACCCTTGTCGGTTTACCAATACCACAACTACAATTATTTCCTTTCTTTTTAGGGCTGCAGCAGAGCCTCTTTGATGTTTCCTGTATTTTTGACAGCTTGGGATGGGAGCTAGACAGATACTCAAACATTTGGCCTTAACAAATAGTTTTAATGGCAAATTCGGAGGGACTGATCTGACAAAAGACTTTTCTTGAAATGCATGCAATTAACCAGTCATTAATTGCAGCAGGTAGGGATTTGTGGCATGCAAAACAGCAGATACCAGGTGGTTATGTTTGAGAGGTACCTGCAGGAGGTTTGCTCAGTGTTTTCTGCAGTTCAGTTTGTTTACACAACACTTAAACTTAAGTTCACAGTTTTCCCTGTCTTTAGTCAGAGTTTTAGTCCTAAGGTTTATGTCCATCTCAATATTGACAGAAAACTAATGAAGTCTCCTGCCTTAACTTTAAGCTTGATTGTGCCCTACTTTAGGCTTTTACCTGCCCTGAGCTGCCCTAAGGCTGCCCTAAGTCCTAGATCTGGTGAAATTACCCCAAAAACTGCACACTGGGTGCTCTATTGGATCCAGAGGGATGTGAATGGAGCACCAGAGCCTGGCTAGAACATGTCAAGATGAAGAAATTCAGGTGTGGTAGCTTAAACTGGAGTGCTTGGAAAATCTGTTCAGCTAAATTTGAATTCTGGTAGATGTCAGTGCTTCCAGCCACAGGTGATGATGGAGCTTGGGCTTGCCAGATCTATTTCTTGGGCTTAGGCCTGGTTTTATGTCCCAAACTGCACTCCCTGAATCTCTTTCTAAGTTGCTTCATAATTGAATACAGATGTTTGGTGGACATAAGTGAACAGTACACCTTGATACCAAATTTTTATTTTAAATTTCTGAAGCCAGCCACTGATTTGATCTTTCTTTCCAAAACAATAGTAAGTATAACCATAAACATTGCAAACTAGTGAACACTTTGCTGCAGTGGATAAACCCTACCCTGACTGACTGACAGAGGTGGCATGGGGGTTGTGCTGTGTGTGTTAACAATTATTTTGAGAATTATTTAACATTCTCCCCGAGAAATTCATTTCCATTTAGCATGCCAAGATATATCTGCAAGCCTTTAAATAATTTCAGCTGATGATTTTCCTCCCTTCCTGGAATCAGACTTGGCGTTTACATATTGGATCAATCCTGTAGCTGGAGTCTGCTTCAAAGTCCATGGAGTAGATAAGACCGTCATTTACTTCAATTGAGTTGGATTCAGGTACCTGGGAAAGCCAAGGGGACAGCAGGGCTAAGTTATAACAGCTGGGTGTCTCATCCATACCCGACAGATAACAGGAATCATGAGCTAGAGGGAAGGGGGAGACTTCTCTAAAGCACAGGAGGTTCCCTGTGAGAAATCCAGCGGAGCTGGAGCCAGCTCTTCCAAAGATGGCAAATCTCCAGAGGAATAAGAACTTTGTAACGCTGTAATTAGTCACTGCAGCCAGGGATGGCCAGAACACACCGGAGTTCTCGGCTGCCTTAAGCAGAGAGAACAGAAAAGCACCTTGTTGTCACCCACTGCTGCTTATTCTGGTTGTGCACTGTTGTTTGCTGGGGCAGCACATTTGGTTTAAAATATGTTAATGCAGCTTGATTGTCCAATCCCCTGCACAGAACAAACATGAGCCAGGCCAGATTTCACAGAAGCACAGAATATGCTGAGTTGGAAGGAACCCACAAGGATCATTGAGTCCAACTCTTAGCCCTGCACAGGACTATCCCCAAGAGTCACACCATGTGACTGAGAGTATCATCCAAATGCTTCTTGAACTTCAGCAGGATCTGTGCCATGACCACTGCCCTGGGGAGCCTGTTCCAGCCCCCAACCACCCACTGGGTGAAGAACCTTTCCCTAAAATTCAACCTAAACCTCCCCCAACACAACTTCAGGCCATTCCCTCCGGTCCTGTCACTGGTGACCACAGAGCAGAGATCAGTGCCTGCCCCTCCTCTTCCCCTCACTAGGAAGTTGTAACTGCAATGAGGTCTCCCCTCAGTCTCCTCCAGCTGAACAGGCCAAGTGACCTCAGCTGTTCCTCACACAGCTTCCCCTCAAGGCCCTTCACTATCTTCGTTGCCCTCCTTTGGACACTCTCTAACAGCCTAATATTATTCTTATATTGCAGTGCCCAAAACTGCCACAATATTCAAGGTGAGGCCACCCCAGTGCAGAGCAGAGCAGGACAATCCCCTCCCCTGACCAGCTGGTGATGCTCTGCCTGATGCCCCCCAGGACACGGTTGGCCCTCCTGGCTGCCAGGGCACTGCTGACTCATATTCAACTTGTCCTCAACCAGGATCCCCACGTCCCTTTCCATGGCACTGCTTTCCAGCCTCTCATTCCTCAGTCTGTATGTTTGTTGAGGTCTCCTTGCAGGGCCTCCCTGCCTTCCAGGGAGTCGACAGGTCCTCCCAGTTTTGTGTCACCAGCAAACTTGCTGAGTATCCCTTCCAGTCCTGTGTGCAAGTCATTTATGAAGATGTTGAAGAGCACAGGGCCTTAGATGGAGCCCTATTGTACCCCACAAGTGACAGGTCTCCAGTCTGATGTTACCCCATTCACAATTACTCTCTGTGCTCGAACTGTGAGCCAACTGCTCACCCACCACATGATGTGTTTATCCAGCTGTGTGATCCTGTGAGAGACAGTATCAAAAGCTTTACTGAAATCCAAAAAGATTACATCAACTGGCTTCCCTTGATCAACTCTCGTCATAATCAAGGTAGGAAGAGCAAATGAAGATGGAAGTGGTGCAGAACAGCATGTCCAAAGAAGGGCAACAGAGCTGGGGAAGGATCTGGAGCACAAGTCCTATGAGGAGCAGCTGAGGGAGCTGGAGATGCTTAGTCAGGAGAAAAGGAGGCTCAGGGGGGACTTTATTGCTCTTTACAACTCCCTGACAGGAGATTGTAGCCAGGTGGGGGTCAGTCTCTTCTGCCAGATTACAGGTGATATGACAAGAGGAAACAGCCTCAAATTGCACCAGGGGAGGTTTAAATAGGATATTAGGAAAAATTTCTTCACAAATGTTGTCAGGCACTGGAACAGGCTGCCCAGGGAGTCACCACCCCCGATAGTGTTCAAAAAACATGCAGCTGTGGTGCTCAGGGACATGGGTTAGTGGTGGGCTTGGCAGTAATGGGTTAATCGTTGGAGTCCATGATCTTAGAGGTCTTTTCAAACCTTAATGATTCTGTGATTGCCTCTGTCACAGGAGGTCCCACTTCATTGTCTTTGTAAAGTGAGTGAGAAACATGGACTGCAGTGCTCCGAGGCCATGAGGCAACTACCCACAATTAGCTCCTCTAACCAACTCATCTGGATCTGAGCCCCTGATGAAAACGCTGGAGATTCATTGTTCTTTGTGATCATGGCCTGAACATCGATTTCCACATAAAATGCATCAAAAACCATGTCTGAACTTTTCGTCTTGGCTGCAAACTAGCTAACAGGATCATAAACCAGTGTGTGAACTTTGGCTTGCCTTCGGCATCCCCGGACAGTGATGTTGCTGGAGAAGAGAGATTATTGTGGTCTGGACTTAATCTGCATCACATTCATCTCAGAATCCAGCTTGCAGTTATCTTCCATAATGTGGGTTCAAAGCAACACCTGTCTTCCAAGCAGG